CCCACAGAAACATGTAGCCCTTGGTATTCCAATGAAATTCCCCTCCAAACCACATAGCCTTGAGTAATAACTGCAATATAATCAAATTCTTCAGAACAACTTGCAACAAACTGGGCAAAAGTCCACTAATTTCTGTGAGATCAAGCCTGGATTTTACCCTTGTGAAATTGTCCCTGGGTAACTCCATTTCAAATGGTTGTGTTTTCCCTAGTCACTTGCTATATGTTAGTAAGGGAGAAAACAGAGTTATATCCAGGCTCTGTTACCTAATGAATATCGTTAAAATTTGGTAAAAAACCCAACAACTTCCAAAAAAAGCTATTTCGTGTGGCCAAGGCTGTTGTACATTCAGCATGGGTCTGGCATAAAGCAGCAGAGGAGAGAGAGCATGGCTGTGGCTCGCAAGAGAGGGTGATGTTAGCCCCCAAGGGCTGAAATTGCTAGAGGTTGGTTTAAGCATCAGGTGAGGAACCACTTTAAAGCTTTCCCTGATCTCCAGCCATTCAGAAGAGTATCATTCAAAGGGTACATCTAAACAAAAAATTGACTGGTAAGAACAATAGCAATGGTGCACAGATCTCAGGTACCATATCTGTGACACAGGTCTCTTTTGCAGGGTGTACATACTATCCTCTCCACTACCACTTACGGATGCAAGCTAAAGAAGTGACGAGAGACATGGGTATCAGGTCTGAAGCTGAAATAACAGAAATAAAACTAGCTAACAATCTCACCACTATCCAGAAGAACAGAAAAGACCAAAGAAACAGAGCAAAGTATCAGAGCCATTTTTCTGCCTGGTGACACTCTGCCACAAATGTTACAGCAAAATGTGTATTTCTTGGGGTTTGTAACTAACAGCACTTGAAATGGCCCCACTGTGAGACTTTCAAATCTTATTTCTGCTGCTTGTTTGGTTTTTGCACTTCTTCAAACCTGTACAATAAAAGGACATTCAGTCTACTTATCTTTCTGGTTCTGATATCCTAGGTGGCTTCTGCAATGCAGTGAACTGTAATTTAAATGGCCTCATTTTTACTGAACCTTGGAAATAGTATGAAATATTTTCAGCTGCTCTCTCATGAAGGATCCCAGTTTTTATTGCCTCACTTGCCTGCAGTGGGAATATGTTAATTCATGGCCCACTAATTGTTCAGAAACTCTGATACCGTTAAGCTTTCTTTTTAGATCATAACTACTCTTAAAAATGTCATCGCCAAATAAAAATATGTCTTGATGTATTTCAGTCAAGAGGGTACTTTGCAGTGTCGGAAAAAACCAGAATGGGCACTAGAGGGCAAAGTGAGATTATAGACAAGTGTAAGAATTGTAGGTGAATGGCAAGACACTGTTTCAGCTCTCTATGAGCATGCTGCTCACCAGTAAACTGCAATTGGGTTCACAGAAGGGAATTGAAAGAAAAATGAACTATTCTTGAAAGAAAGAAGAAGATCTCAGAGATGATGGACAGGAGCTCATAAACCAGCATTTGATTTCAATTACTTTTTGGCCAACTGTGAGGTAAAAGAAATTATTTATACTGAGACAATGTCTAGAAGACCCATTTAAAGATGGGGACCCTGGAACAGACATAGTTGCTGAACAAATAAAAAGGAAAAAGAAAATATCAAACCAATATATCTTTGTTTTACTCTTACTTTTCAAAGAAAGGTAAGGAGTCTTTAAGGTAAAGCAAGAAAGCTGAAGAGTCAGAAGATCCTCTCTCTTCTCCTTGCCATCGTAACATTTTGGAGCACTCTGTATTTTATCACCACTGTGTTACCAGGTCAGCTGTGTATCATGCCCCTGGCTAACTGAAACCCTCTGGTATTTCTTCCAGTTAATATTTTTCTAGAAGTTAAACAAGTGCAGCAAAATGTAGTTTTTAACATACATTATTTTCAAATTGAAATGAATAAAATAGTGAATGTGAAATCCCAAATCCTGGTCAAAAATTTAACATAGATGAAACAAAATCCTTCCAAAATGGGACTGCTTGTAGGCCAAAAAGTTTCATAAATTTTCTCATAAGACTCATGCACCAGTGCCGTGCAGCACAGGTCCCAGTCACAGCTGTGGCTGTTCTCTTGGCTAGTCTCACAGCACCTTGTTTACATATGCTGTGCTGCACTTTTTGGGAAACTGCACTAAAAGTGACAGGGTTTCATCTATGCAGAGTCTGTTTTCTGGGGTGGATTTACGGGATTGGTGTCAAACGCCTTGTATCCCACATGAAACTTCAGAATAGCTAGAGCAGAACTGAAGAATGCTTATTCCAGACTTTACTCTGGAAAAAATTATTCACAACTCACAGTCAACTACAGCTGTCCAAAGCAATTCTTCCATGGGTTTGGCCTTCTCTGTCAGCTCTGGCTTTACTTCATTTTTAAATTGGGAAACAAAAAAAACCAAACCCAACCCACAAAACAGAGAAAAAACCCAAAGCAAAACAGGACAAAAGCCTGTGGAAATAACTCTCCAAATAATCATCCAGGCTTAGCCCTTGTTGCTAGGAAGGACAGCTGTGAAGTCCTCCAGAGCAGCCACAGGGAAGCTGCAGCGGTGGCTGTGGTGGAGCAGGCAGACCGACACCAGGGCCGAGGGGTGTGGGCGGGAGAGGGGATCAGGAACTGCTCATGGAGGCAGTGCCCATGGACTGCTGCATCCTGCCAGTCCTCACCCTTTCCAACACAGCCTGCCCCTTGTCAGGGGTAGCCCGAAACTGTTTTCCCCCTCCCAGTTGCGGAGGAATGCTGGGTCCTTCCACGGAGCGACCGGAGGGGAGACCAAGAAATGAGGGCGACGAAGATACAGAATAAATCTTAAAAGAAAGCGTCAGTCCTCAGTTTTGACTGGCAGAATGAATTTACTTCACTTTAGAAATCTAATGCAAAGCAAAAAAAGGTGAACAAAGCAAGTAAGATTGCATTTGATACTTTCCAATAAGATGCTTTTTAATATCCAAAAATCTTCCTACTAATCCTCATATAGCCAAGGATGAGTCATTTATATCAGTGTTTTCCACACTTCTACTGACATCAAGAAATTCTGGTAAGGTGCAAGGGCTTTTTCAGTGCTGAGAGTTCCTAGAGGAGCAAACTCTGACAGGGAAAGCGTGGACAATCTTTCTTCTCAGCTTGCAGACATGCCAGTGCCACAGCCCATTTTGCAAGCTGGAGGGCAGCTGCAGCAACACACTGCCCAGCCCACCTTGCTTCCAAACACAATTTAGGCTCTTCATTAGTTGTGTCCTGGATGAATTCCTTTTCTCTCTGTACAACATCAAAATTGAAATGCCCAGCTTACGTGAACTGGCAACCCTCTGTTTTAATTTCAGGAGGGCTGAGGACGAAGCAATGGCAAGTGATGAGTAGATGAGCACAGAGGAATTCATGTCCTGCCTCAGTTCTCTCCACAAGAGGCTGCAAGGTTGATTCATTTTCTAAGAACAACCTTCTTGAGCCCAAGTGCTTGCAATTAGGATCCTAAAACCACACGTTACCTTCAGCAATGAAGAATTCAATCTTCTAAGCAAAGAATAGAATCTGGTTTTGAAAGTGTGGAAGTAAACCCACTTAACACTCCTCTCTACAAAATAACTGTTAAAACACGGTAATGCATTTGCAAAGTCAAAATCCACATTAAGGAGATTAAACACTGAGATTTCAAATAGCGTATCTGTCCCCTGCACACCAGTTACCACCACGTCTACTCACTGTAACTCTTATTGTTGGCTGTATTCCTCAAGTTTCTTGTCTTGGTAGGCCAGAACTTACACAACTTCCTCTGGACTTAGCTGGAGTACTGTGTGTTCATTTTCCCAGAAAGGAAATGTCTTGACAGACATATTTATATAAAACAGAAAGCTTTTCTTCTACCAAAAAAAAAAAAAAAAAAAGCCTGTTTGACTTCAAGTATCTTTAAAAACGTTGCTTTCTCTTTAAGCAATCAATACACTTTCTCTTCAAGTCTCTTTGGCTTTGAGGTGGACTCAGTTCTGGTCTCCATCTTTTGGGAAAAGCTCACATTGGCTGTAATAGATCTTT